TTAATGTATATTTGAGTTTTAATATATAAATTTTCCAAGAAAGTGTTGATATCCTTTTAAGTCAGTGTGAAGAAGTCTATATTAGTGTGAATGTATCTAGCACAAAGAAAAGGTCTTGTATCTGTTGTATTCTGGCCCCATTCCTGTGGATTCCAGTCCCATTCCTGAGGATTCCTGCGGATTCCGGTCCCATTCCTGAGGATTCCTGAGGATTCCGGTCCCATTCCTGAGGATTCCTGCAGGAATGGGTGGGGCACTGTAAAGTACTGCTATTCCTGCAGGATTCCCCTGGAATTCCACTGGAATGATCCCATTCCTGCAGGAATAGGTGGGGCACTGTAAAGTACTGCACTGCTGCAGGATCTTCATTGGCCATAAAATCTGCAGTCTCTTTATATGGTTGACAGCACTTAGAACATGAATGCCCTTTTCCTGGCTCTATTACCCCCCATTTCCTAATTTCTCAAATGCCTGCTGGGTAACTTCTTCAATGTTCAAGTTGTCAGGCAACTCCAAATTGTTGCTATTCACACTTGCAATTGTTCTGATTGATTCCTGAACAAAAGCCTGCCAAATATGACACCAGGTAACTTGGACCTTGGAGTCAGTAACTGAAGCACAATCATTCCAATGCTGTGTATACGCAGAGGCTGATGCATGGAAATTATACATTCCACTGAGAACAGAGTGTGTAAAATTTCTGTCAACCCAAGTAGACTGTCCTATCTTTAGAAATCGTGCAGAATTTAGATAGCACTTGGTCCAAGAACCATAGTTATCTTTAAAGTGCTCATGATCTGCATAATAGATAGCACCACATTGCATGCATTTGCCTGTCAGAACAGGAGCATCCTTATAAGGAATATTGTCTTTGATTAAGGTAACCAATGGGACATCTCTTGGTCTGGTTATTTGCAAAAGAGCTCTAGAAGCACACCGTTGATCAACACAAGTAATGCTATCAGGACAAATAGCATGAACAGCTTGAATTGCAATATAGGAAACTGGCTGCAGTCTCTCTTTGAACTTTCCCCAATGGTCATATGGCGTAAGATTCAATAAGTTTGCAAATGCATCAAGTTTGGTAGACAATTTTGTGACTTGGTGATTTTGCTTTGGCCATTATTCTCCAGGACAAAGTACTGTTTTAATATCATCCTTCAATCAGTGCATTATAGCACGTGA